GCGGTGGCGCCCGCGAAGCTCGCCAGAGCAGCCGCGCCCGCTGGGCCGAAGCCGCCCGCGAAGGCGGCGATGGGCGGCATGGGCGAGACTGGCGCGGGCGTGCCTTGGAAGCCGCCGCCGAGCGCCGCGGGGCGAGGGCGCGGTCGCGGCCCCCCGCCGAAGGCGGCGGCGCTTGGCGCCTCCCCCGCGCTGCCCAAGATGCTGGAGATGATGCCGCCCGGAGCTGGTGCGACGGCGGGCCTGCTGGCCGCCGGCGCGGGGGGGGCCCCACGCGTCGCGGGCGTCCTTCCTGGCCTGCCGCCTGGAGTGGCAGCAGGGCTCAGCCCAGTGATGGCGGGCGCCTGCGGCTGCCTCCTCGGCCTCGCCGCGCGTGGCCCAATCGGGCCCGCGGCGGGAGCTAGCGCTGCGCATGGCCAGCGTCGGCCGCGCGCAGAGGGAGGGGGGCAGGGGGGGGGCTTCTTAGAAGTGTCCTCGCTTCTTAGAAGGCGCGGGCGCTGTGTGTGTGTGCGTGTGTGGATGTAGGGCCGGCGCCTTCTAAGTCAGCTTCCTTTTATGCCCCCCCTGCCCCCCCTGCGCGCGCCGTCGACTGTGGGCGCGCGGCCCCGCTGGCCCTGACTTGATCCCCGTCTTGGGGATCTATCCAGGCCGCCTCCTGGAGATCGCGCTGCTCGACGCCGCGGGCTCGCGAGCGGGGGCGGGGGCCCTCCTTGCCCTCGGGCGCCGGCGGCGCGCGCGCGGAGGCGCATCTCCGGAGCTCCGCAGGCGCGCGCGACGCGCCCATGACAGGCTTGTTCGGGGCAGGCCGCGGCGTGATCCGCCTGTGCGCGACGCCTCGACTGGGCGCGCGCAGATGGGCGGCTGGCCGGGGCGGCCCACGGCGCGCGCGGGCGCGCCCATTGCGCGGGCAGCGCCTGGGCCAGGACGCTGCGGGCCCCGGTGCAGCAGCGGCTGGAGGCGCTGCGCCTGCCCCCCCCCGCCGCTGCCGCCGGGGCCCCGGGCCCGGCTGCTGCGGCGGGAGGCGGCGGCGGAGGCGCGGCGGGCGCAGCCGCGGACGGCGCGGGTGCGGCAGCGGCGCCGGCAGGCAGCAGCGGCGACGGCGTGGACGCCGAGCAGCTGCGCGAGAAGCTGGACAGGGTCCAGAAGGAGCTCAGTCGCAAGCGCTCGATCAGCACCGAGCCGGCAGAGCGCGCAGCGAGCCGCGAATAAAATACGTAGCACCCCGCAATTGCGGATAAGAGTGAGGGGGTGGGCGCGGGCGACGCGGGCGTCGTCGAGCCGGCGGACCTCGTGGCCCCTACCTTCCCTGTCGATGGCGCTCTCCTCCTCCTCCTCCTCCTCCTCCTCCTCCTCGTCCTCGTCCTCGTCCTCATCGCCATCGTCATCCTCCTCCTTCACCTCGTCGTCCTCCTCCTCCTCTTCTTCCTCGTCCTCCCTCTCCCCCCTCGTCCTTCCATCATCATCCTCCCATTGTCGTCCCCCCCCCATCATCGGCCTCCATCATCGTCCTCCCACTGTCGTCCATCATCATCATCATCGTCCCCCTCGTCCCCCTCCTCCCCCTCCTCCCCCTCCTCGTCCTCCTCCTCCCCCTCCTCGTCCTCCTCCTCCCCCTCCTCCCCCTCCTTGTCATCCTGCTCCTTCTCTTCATCTTTTTCCACATTCTCCTTACATCCTCTCTTCTTCCGCGTTCTCCTCGTCCCCTGTTTTTTCCTCGTGCCTCCCCCTCCTTTTCCCAAGATAAGGGCAACGCAATCCTTTTTTCCCCACTGTGTGCTCCCCGACTTCTCTGATCAAGGCAACTGGCCAGGGCAAAGTTGCTGGACGGGCTGGTAAGGATGCGCGGGGCTTGAAGAGGTCGTTGCGGGTTCAGACGGCATGCAAAAATCCGCCGCCGCGCTTGTGCGGCACTGGTTTGTTCAGTGCACGTGGTTTGGGTCGCGGGTGGGTCGCGGGCTCTCTCCACCTCCACCTGGAAGGAATGCAAAAGCAACCCGCCGCAGGCGCCAAAAAAATTGGTTTGCACACTGAACGCGGTTTGGGCCGCGGGTGGGCCGCGGGTTCTCCACCGGGAACAAATGCAAAAGATGCCCGCCGCAGGCGCCGAATAATTTGGTTTGTGCCTTGAACGTGGTCGCGGGTGGGCCGCGGGCTCTCCACCTGAAATGAATGCAAAAGATGCCTGCCGCAGGCGCCGAAAAATGCGGTTTGTACCTTGAACGTGGTTTGGGTCGCGGGTTGGTCGCGAGTTGGTCGCGGGGTGGGTCGCGGGTTCTCCACCTGGAAGGAATGCAAGAAAAAAGCCCGCCGCAGGCGCCGAAAATGGCGGTTTGTACCTTGAACGTGGTTTGGGTTGGGTCGCGGTGGGTCGCGGGTGGGTCGGGGTGGGTCGCGGGTGTGCGGTTCGCGGTGGGTCGCGGGTGGGTCGCGGGGTGGTCGCGGGGGTCGCGGGTCGCCGCGGGTGGGTCGCGGCGCGGGGTTGGTCGCGGGGTCGCGAGTGGGTCGCGGTCGGGTCGCGGGTGGGTCGCGGGTGGGTCGCGGGTGGGTCGCGGGGTGGGTCGCGGGTCGCGGGTGGGTCGCGGGTGGGTCGCGGGTGGGTCGCGGGTGGGTCGCGAGTGGGTCGCGGGGCGGGTTGCGGGTGGGGCGACGACAACAAACACAACAAACAACAACAAACAACAACAACAACAACAACAACAACAACAACAACAACAACAACAACAACAACAACAATTACTAGCACGTGGGGACACTCCGTTCTCACCAGTGCCAGGGTTTTCATAGGAGGCGGGCAATACCCCCACTTTGTGGGGGGGCCGGTTCAAGCTCTACCAAATTTCCAAACGACTCTTCGCCACCACCCACACCCAGCTTCCCGCCCTATGACGTTCGGACACTTCACTTCGTGGCATGCGGACGACCGTGGCTACTATTCAGGGCCCCGCGGCCGACGACGACGGCGTGCGCGCGCGAAGAAAAAACGAATGTGTCCCGCATGGTATTATTTGACAGGGATGATGGCCCTGGCAGGTGCGCAACCGTTGTTGCAGAAGTTCGAAAAAGTTGCTCGCAAAAGCCCGTTTGACAGAAATGATTAAAAAGTGTTGGGTTTCCTACGAATCCGCAAGAGCGCGCGGGATGAAATTTTGACATTTTTTTGAAAAACCATTGGTTTTTTGATGTTGTTTATGTTAAAATCGCTACGAAAACTAAGGTTTTGGAAGGATTTCGTCTTGCGCGCGCGAATGTCCACTTTACCTTATTTTTTGCAAGGGATTCTTGAAGTTTGGTTATGTTAGAACAAGAAATGTCCACTTTAGCTTATTTTTTGCAAGGGAAAACCGATCGTAACAACACAACCGGATCCGGACCAACCCGTTTTGCCTGAGACTTCCTCACGAAAATGATGAAAATGAGGCTGCGGCCTAGGCGCGGCGGGGGGGTCGTGCACCAGGGGCCCCAACAATAATTATTCTTTAGAAGTAATAATGTTCAACAACAACAACAACAAACAACAACAACAACAACAACAACAACAACAACAACAACAGCAACAACAACAACAAACAAACACCAACACCAACAACAACAACAACAACAACAACAACAACAACAACAACAACAACAACAATCATTTTACCCGAACGCTCAGTGTTCTCACCAGTGCCAGGGTTTTCATGCGACGCGAGGCAATACCCCCACTTCGTGGGGGGGCAGTTCAAGCTCTACCAAATATCCAAACGACTCTTCGCGACCACCCAAACCCAGCTTCCCGCCCTATGACGTTGGGACACTTCACTTCGTGGCGTGCGGACGACCGTGGCTACTACACTGGCGTGGGGTACACACCCACAGAACTTGGTCACTTATTCGGGGCGCGCGTGTGCCCAGCATCCTGCAATTGTGACATACAATACATGACACAGACAGACAGAGAGAGAGACAGAGAGCAGACAGAGAGAGAGACAGAGAGAGCGGAGTTGGTCACATTTTTGGGGCAAGTTCCTGAGATCGTCTTGTTTTTTGTTGGTCTTGCGCGCGCGAATGTCCACTTTACTTTTTTTTGCAAGGGAGTATTGAAATTTGATTATGTTAGAACAAGAAAAAGTAGCTCGCGCGAGCTCATGTAACATAAATGTTGAAAAACCATTGGTTTTGTGGGAGTCGGACAGCGCGCGCGGGATGAAATTTGGACATTTTTTTTTGAAAAACCATTGGGTTTTTGATGTTTTTATGTTGAAATCGTTACGAAACCTAAGGTTCTGGAAGGATTTCGTCTTGCGCGCGCGAATGTCCACTTTACCTTATTTTTTGCAAGGGATTATTGAAATTTGATTATGTTAGAACAAGAAAAAGTAGCTCGCGCGAGCTCATGTAACATAAATGTTGAAAAACCATTGGTTTTGTGGGATTCGGACAGCGCGCGCGGAAGGACATTTTGACAATTTTTTCTTAAAAAACCATTGGGTTTTTGATGTTTTTATGTTAAAATCGTTACGAAACCTAAGGTTTTGGAAGGATTTCGTCTTGCGCGCACGAATGTCCACTTTACCTTATTTTTTGCAAGGGATTCTTGCAATTTGATCAAGTAAGAACAAGAATTTTCATTTTATAGTGTTTTTTGCAAGGGAAAACGAGCGTCAACAAAAAACCGGATCCGGACACAATCCACTTTTCTGAAGCTTTCGCGAAAAAATGATGAAAATGTAGCTGCGGCCTAGGTTTTGGAGGGGGGTCGTGCACCAGGGGGCCCAACAATAATTATTCTTTAGAAGTAATAATATTCAACATCAACAAACAACAAACAACAAACAACAAACAACAAACAACAAACAACAAACAACACACAAGTAACAACAACAGCGAGAACCCGCACCGCGGAATCCCATTTCAGCCACGCACCCAGGGACAGTGAATGACCGTTCGGCCCCCTCACTCTGATAAGAAGAGGCATAACGGGGACTCAAGCAGCTAGTCGGCTTTTCGGGGCGTCGCTCCCGCAGGTTCAAATCGCCAGGTCCAGCGGCTAAGCCGCGCCGAGCCAGGGGCTTTGCTTGCTTCGGGGCCAGGGCAGACCAAGCTGCCGCTGGCGCAGCGCGGAGGGGCGGTTGACGACGACTTGGATGAGATGGCCTCCAACGTGATGCAGAACATCGCGTCCGCGTGGTACGGCCGTCACCCGCCGTCGTCCACGGGCGCTCGCAACGCGCGCGGGATGCGCATTAGGGGGGAGTGCCTCGACGCGCTGCTGGCTGTAAGCCCCCCGAATTTGGGAATGTGCTGACGCAGCGGCTTCAAGGCCATCGAGCAGGCCGCGAAGGGCGGGAACTGGCAGATGGCGCAGCATTTGGAGTTCAGCACCAACGTGAACGCCAGCCTGGCCGGCCCCGCCCAGGTGAGGGACGCCGCGGATGCGTTCTCGGCCGACGCCAAGATGGCTCAGCACCTGGCGGCGACCAAGGCGAACAAGGCGCCCCCCTAGGGGTCTGGCCGAGGGGGGGATCCCGAGCTGGCGCAGTCCTCCTCTCAACGGTCACGCAGCGGGGCGCCGCTGCCCCACGCGCCACGGCCTGCGACCGAACCCCAGGTCCCGGGGTGGCAGAGCCGGCGGGGTCGCCAGCCAGTCGGCCCAGGAGAAACTTGTCGAGCACCGAGCAGCAGCGACCACAGCGGCTGCCAAGGTGGCCGAGCAGGTCGAGGGCACGGCGACGCCGACGGGCGTGCCGCCGAGGTCACGACTGCCGCGGCGCAAGCCAGGCGACCCACCCTCTGCAGCTGCCCTGAGGGCGAAGACGATCGGCGGTCGAGACCGAGGCTTGGCGAGACGCGCCCAGTTCTGGTCGGACGAGAAAGGGGACAGGCCGCCGCAAGCTCGCCAGGCTGTCCTCGTGCCCGCGAAAGGTCGCGGCAGCGGCGGCCAGGCGCGCGACCCCCGCAAGTTCGCCCGGGGCCGAGGCGAGGGCAAGTCGAAGGGCAAGAACAAGGCCAATAAACCCCATGGCAGGAGGCAAGGGGTGGCTTGACTGAGCCCCCAGGTGGTAGCGGCTAATCCGCTGCCCCGCGTTCCCCCCCAGCACAGCCGGATTTCGCAGGCTAGCTGGGAAGCCGAAGTGGGCGACGCCCTGGGCATCGATTTTGATGACTGGGCGTCTGAGGCGAGGACCGAGGGCGAAAAATATCAACATGTTTTTTCAGCGTGAGGGCGGCGCTGCCACGACCCTCCATGAACTGGGGAAGAAGCTGGGCGTCCGCTTGAGCCTACCAGCAACGAAGTCTTGCAGGAGAACAGACACTCCGAGAGATGCTTCGAGAGAGCGAGAGAAAGAGAGAGAGAGAGAGGCCCTACACCACCTTCCGCGCGGCGGAGGAGGGATCTCCTCCACATGCCCCGCGGCGATGTGCGGCAAGTACGAGAACTCCGTCGGCGTGGCGAAGCAGCTGGTGCGTACACGGATGCGCGGCCAGAAGTTAGCGAATGGCTCTGCATATTGACTGCTGGGTTCAGCTTCCACTACGGGCACTGCGGGCGCCATCATCATCGTCCGATCACCAACGTCAATATATCTGATCATCCTGATAGTCTTCACCGTCCTCATTGCTTCGCGTCCTAGCCACCCCTTCTCACACCTCCGCTCGAGCTCTCACCTTTGGATTATCACATCCCTCCAATGTGTTTCCGCCCCCTAAAGACTCAGGAGGGGAAAAAACACACAGACACAATTATTCCCAGAAAATATGGGAGAATATGGGAATTGGGCGGGAAGACAATCACCCAGAAAATATGGGAAATATGGGGATATCTTTATTTGTGTGTATTTATTTGTGTGTCCCAGGGCCCCTTCAAAGACGAAGATGAGGATGAGGCAGGCGGTAGGAGGAAAAGAGAGGGACGGAGGAAAGAGGATGAGGAGGAGGAGGAGGAGGAGCAGGAGGATGGGGCAGGATACCGGGATGGCTGTCGAGATGGGACGTGAACGAGACGGGGACAAGGACAGCGACAACGACGACGACGACGCCGGCGACGATAAACGCCGTGCAGCTCTTGGGGGCGTGGGCGCGTTAGCCGCACGTGCGAGGTCGAGGAGGGCGAGTCGTTGCTGGAGTGTGCGCTCCGCGAGATGGCCGAGGCCCCCTGGGCGCGGGAGGCTTGAGAGTAATACTGATGGACGTGGAGGGTGTCAAGGCATTCCTTCTCCTCCTCCTCCTCCTCCTCCTCCTCCTCTCCCTACCCCTCCTCTTCCTCCTCCTCCTCCTTCTTCTCCTCCTCCTCCTCCTCCTTCTCCTCCTCCGCCTCCTCCTCCTCCTCCTCCTCCTCCTCCTCTCCTACCCCTCCTCTTCCTCTCCTCCTCCTCCCTCCCCCCCTCCTCTTCTTCCTCCTCCTCCTCCTCCTCCTCCTCCTCCTCCTCCTCGTCCTCCTCCTCGTCCTCCTCCTCGTCCTCCTCCTCTTCGCAGTTGCAGATGCACACCCATGTCCTAGCTCTGACGAAGCACGAGAAACGACAAACAATCTGGGAGGGGATTTCAAACAGGTGCCTAAAAGAAGAAGGACCACCGAGAGGAGGGATGGAAGAGGGGAGCAAGGAGATAGTCGCCCCCGAAAGCCCCAGCGCCCTGTGGCGGTTTGCCCGAGGCACTCCTGCCATGGGCTGACCTTGAAGCACGCCGTCCGTGCTCCAACTGAGCTGGATGCGGCAACAATGATACCGATCCCCCTGCTCCCTCCCCTTTTCTCTCCCACGAGAGAAGTAGGGCTGTTGTCCCGCCTCACGCGGGGGGCCCTGCGTCGGCGGCGGGTTGGAGCAGCGCCTCCTCTTGCAAGCCTCCTATAGGGAAGGGGTGCTGATAAAGACCTGCAACAGCAGTAGCCAGACAACACAACAGACCCCTGGACATACGCACACAACACACACAGCTGTAGCCATGTTGGCTCAAGGCATTGAACCGCCCGACGACCGCGAGTCCGTTCTCGGGCGACTGAGCGCGAGGGTTTTCGCGCTTTGAGGCCAACTCTGACTTTGCACAAGTGCTGCCTCGTGACCTGCGTGGCCGCTTTCTGTCTTTGGCAGGTTTCAGAGTGTGCGACGCTCAAACTCGGATTCGAGGCGGCGCAGCAATTGCGGGCCAAGGGGGTGCAGGTTCGAGTGGAGGTGCAGCATGACGGGAGCACCGCGGGCGCAGTGCAACGGGCTCCAGGCGTGAATGGGCCAATGCTTGGTATTTCAAAGACTGCAAGGGCAAGGGCGGCTTGAAGTGGTGGAACCACGCTGACCAGCCCAGCTGCTCCAAGTGCCACAGGCCCAATGCGCGCACCTCCTGTGGGAAGGTCCAACCGCGGTCACCATCTCAGCGACCACACAGGCCGCCCAGCGAGGCGGGAAGCGGCGCAACACGCAGCTCAAGCAGTGCAGGACCCACGCCCTGGGAACACAACAAGGCGTTCCAGCTCCTGGCGAAGCGCCAAGCTGGGGGTGTTGCGGCCGACGTCGCCATGGGAGGTGGCGCTGTGGTTGGCGCGGACGCAGCCGCCGCCTAGTGGAAGAGAAAGCTCGCCGACGTGGAGAGACGCATCCATGCTATCGAGGAGTTCTTCCCCGCGGACGGCACCAGCGGGAGTGGCCACATCAAGCGGCAGATCGAGCTGGACAAACAGGAGAGTAACCGCATCCGCACCGAGATGCAGCAGGGCAGGCCGCTGGCCGCCACGCTCCAAAGCATCTCGGGTTTCATGGGAAGGGCCCAGACCAGCATCGACAAAGACAAGAAGTTCGTGGAGGAGAAACGCGAGCAAGCCAGGGCAGCCATCGCGATCGCCGAGGAGCAGGAGGCACACATCGCCGAGCAGGAGGTGGAGTTCCTGGAGCTCCAACGGCAGCGCGCAGACATCCTGCGCGCGCCCCCGCCGCCGCTCGTGCTTCAAGGCGCAGACGCAGGGCGGAACCAGCCCGCCGTGGACGCCCCCGCCAATCAGATGGAGGCCCTGCTCGGCGCCGTCGGCGCTGGCCATTCCTTCCGTCAGCAGGCGCAGGCGCTCTTCATGGGACTGCAGGCAGAAGAGGCGGCAGCAGCCCAGCAGGCCCAGCAGCCAGTGCAATCAGCTGGCGCCCAAGTCGCCGCGGCCGACGCCTTCGGCGCGCCCCGGCAGGCGGGCGGCCTTGCGACGCCAGCGGCCGCGGCAGCAGCCCGCCCGCGGCAGCCCCCCCCTCCGTCCCTGTGCTGGACATTGCCAACGTGGGGAGCATCCGTCAGCGGCTCATGCACATCCAGCACCTAGGGGTCGAGGACCAGGACGATGAGATGGTGGCCACGCCGAGCGCCTTGCCGCCAGCGAACTGCAGCTGCCCCGCGAGAGGAAGCCGCGGGGCGCGGGCGCGGACAGCGCCGATCAGGAACCTCGAAGCAGGGACTGCGATCCTCGACTCGACGATGAGGTCTGTGACCGATTCATGCGAATGCCGCTGCTGGAATGTCTGGTCAGGCGCGGCACCAACGAGATTCTGGTCGCCCAGGAGCACCACGCGGTGGAGGAAAGGCTCGGGGAGGAAGTTCAGGCCTCGGCACTCGACCTCGGCCGGCACGGCATCTGGGGAGCTGGCCCCCCCCCGGACGCGGGCAGCGGCAATCGGGGCGGAGTCAGGGTGCTTGCCCCGAGCCGCGCGCCCGCCGGAGGCGCCGCCGGGCATGAAGGGCGCGCCCCGGGGCCATGGGGGCCGCGGCGCGTCGCGCCCACGCCGCCGCCCGAGCAGGCAGGGGTTGGGGCCGTCACGATCTTTCTGCGCACAAGGCAAGGCATGCCCCTTGAAAGCTTGGGCGCGCTCTGGAAGATCGTCAAGTACCTCAAGGCCTTCGACGTCATGTGCCTGGACTGGGTCGCCACGGGGGACTTCCTAATGGCCTCTGGCGTGCTGCCGTCGGGCGAGTGGGCGCGGCCGGCCGGGGGCGAGCGCGTCGCCCCGCGCATGCTGCGCCAGCGTTCCAGGCTCGATCATCGACTACTTCCTGACCCTCAGGAACCTCGCGGGGCGCCCCACAGCGCCCTCAGGCATCGCTAGACGCGGCAATTTGGCCGCGCGTCCCTGCCGCCGCTCGGCCAACGAGGCCCAGCCAGCAGGAGCCGGCCGCAGTCCTCGCGCCGAGCCCAAGCAGCCACCGCGGCCGCCCCTTCCCGGGCGCGCGCGGCGCCCGCGGGCCAGCCAGGCCGAGGCGCAGCTAAATTTTGGCGCGGCCACCTCGGCCAGCGGCCTCGCCATCGCTTCGGGCCTGGCCGCGCGGGGCATCGGCGCCGAGCTCGTGAACAGGCATGACATCGCCACAGCCAAAGGGCGCGCCAGGTGCATGCATGCGGACGAGCCGCCCCAGTGCAAGTGGAAGCAGTTGCAGCGGCAGCCGAAGCTTCGGCGGGCGCATCTGGGGCCAGAGGTGAACGCGCATGCCGCGGCGGTCCGCCGGGCCGCGCACCTGCCGGCGGTGCGCAAGCAGCTCGGCAAGGGCGCGGCGATGCGCGACGTGGCCTGCGAGCACATCCCTGGCGAGGGCAGCCGCGGCCAGGCCTCCTCGGTGCACCTGCAGAAGAGCCAGCGCAAGCTGCTCCACCGGTCGTCCGCGCCATCCGAGAGGCCCAGAGCTTCTGCTTCCGCGTCGCGCAGGCGACGCGCGCCCTCGGCCGCCCCGGAGCGCCCGCGAGGCAGCTCTTCCGCGCAGGAGCGACCCCCCATGAAACGCGACGACCTCCGCGACGCGCCGGGGGATATAGCCTTGGCGGGCCAGGCGCGGCGGAAGCGAGCCCGGGGCACGGCGCGCGCGGCCCGGCAGAAGTGGGCGGGCCCAGGGTGCTTTCCTCAACGGGGCGGGGCGGCAGGGTTCGGCCGCAACTGGAGGCGCTGCCCAGCAGGCCAGCAGAGCCGCCAGCGGGCGCAGCGCAGCCGTGCCAGCTCGCCGACGCGGAGATGGCCAAGTGGGACAGACCTGGCCCGCCAACCGCCTTGAGCCGCTGGAGGTGCCGCCAACGACGGGGCAGCGGGCGCCGCTTGGCGCGCCCGTGGTCGCCAGGCCCCGCGGGGCCATCCGCCCAGGGCCCGCCCGTGTGCATCGCCGCCGCGGGCTGGTTTTCTGCCATGGGCGTTGATCGTATTATTGTTTCGGCGGCGGGTTGCAGGGTGCGTCGAATCTGTCGCGTGGGCAGCGTCATTTGGACACGCGGTTGCACGCGAAAAAAAAACAACACATTCACGTGTTGTGCTTTTCGGGGTGGTGCGTAACATTCCCGGGTGGGCCCATCGTTTTTGTGCGCCACCACCGCGCTGCCACGGGGTGTTTGGGAGCCATTTTTCATTGCCGAATGCGGCTGCCATCTGCGCGCGTGACCGCGCGGCACGTACTTTCGCTTGGCGGCGGCAGGCAGTGGCACCCCTGTCGAGGCGGACGCGCGCAGGATTTGTACATTTCCTATGGCCGCCAGGTGGTGGGGTGTATTTTGGGGCCAAACCTTTCGTTCGGGGTGTGGGCGGCGCGCGGCCCCGCGAGGGTCGCGCTGCGCCCGCTCGACGACCTGTCCGATGCCGCCTTGGAGACACTGGGGCAGTTGTTCGGATGGCGTGAGAAGCTTGGCTGCTGGCCAGAAGATCGGCTCGCGCGCGAGATGGTCAGACCCCCCGAAGAAGGCGGCAGGGCTCAACTGGTCGCCTGCTCAATGCGCTGGCGCGCGTCTGGCCTCGCGCACGGCGGCCGGAGAGCATGGCCGCCCAGGGCGCCCGGCGCCGCCCGCGCGCGCGGCGCGAAGGCGGCGGCCGAAAGCCGTTGGCGCGCTGCTGAAGGTCGCAGCAACCGCCGCCGCGGCTTCCGGCGCGCCCGGAGAAGCCGCGCTGGGCAATTCGGGAGGAGAGGAGGCCAGAGGAGCGCTGCGGAGCGCGGGCCACGCCCCTGCCGAAGTTGCTGGTGGGATAGGGCCGCGACCGGCCCAGCGCCCGCCGCCTTTTTGCAGGGCAGCGAAGAGCGGGCACGGGACTGAGGGCGCCCCGTTGGCCGAAGCAGCCCGTCAGGAGTGTCGGGGCACGGCTCGCCCTCCGCCGCTGGGGCGACCTGTTGGCCGAAGCAGCTTGCCAGGGGCGCCATTGCGGCTGGCCCACCGCCGTTGGCCGACGCAGCCCTCGCGCCCGCCCGGCCTGGACTTGCTGGTCCGGCTGCGGCCATGCCGCCCCAGTTGGACCAGCATTGGCGCGGGCGGCAGCTGCGGCTGCGGCCCGCGGGGCCGATGGCCCCGCGCCCAAGCCCGCCGCGCGGTTGCACCGCAAGATGCCAGGGGCCGTCCTGCAGGGGCTGAGCGAGCTGGCGGAGAGGATCGGCGCACGTGAAGCACGGCGAACCCAGGCGCCTGAAGGCGCGACGCCGTCGGGCACAGGCTGTGGCCCGACGATGGAGGCGACGCAGGCCGACGACCAGAAGGCCGCCGCGCAGGAGACGGAGGCCGCGGAAGGCCGCGCTGCCGAGAGGAGCAGGCAGGATGTCCCCCGCCAGCAGGCGCGCCTGGCCCAGCGCGCGCACCCGGAGAGCCTGACCGCAGCGAGGAACGGCTCTGGCGCCCAGGTCCTGTTAATGGGCAGTGGTAAGCCGACGCCGCGCGCCGAGCCTGTCGCTGCGGGCCGGGCGGATGCTGCGTCGGCGGCGAGTGTCTACATGCGTCTCCCCCTCCTCCCCACGAGCGTCGCGTGCCGCCGACGCCGATGGGAGTGGGCGGAGGGCGGGACTGGGGTCGATCGCAAGTGATCAGGGCCACGAAATGGCCGCGCGAGCCCAGTGCATTCTGCGGAGGAAGTGCGGGGCCCACGTGTCGGCCATGCGCCGGTCCTTTCCACGGAACGAGCGCGCGCCTGCTCAGGGGGGCAGGCGAGCTCGGCGTGAGAATCTGCCGTGAAATTTCCATCCCGCCTCGGTTTCGAGCTTGGGCGCCTAATCCTGGGGGCCCGGGGCCTCGGCGCCCAGGTCGCCTGGGGCCTTCGGGCTCCTGGGCTCTGGCTGTGGCGCGGGCTCGCGCCGGAGGTGCGCGCGGGCCCGGAGTGGCTCGCGCGCCGGGTCCTGCCGGGTCCTGCCGGACCGTGACAGGCCCCGGCGGCCGCGCCCTGGGCCCTTCGAGCGGGGGCCCTGTAGAGGCGCCCCGGCGCCCATTGGGGCGGGTGCTTCGTATTTTTTTTCGCGCCGCGCTTCCTTGCGTAGTCTAGGCTTGCTGCTGGGCGCGGCTCGCAGGGTGTCCGACGCGCGCGCGCCAGAACGACGCTGCTCTTGCTGTTCAGGGAGTGCCAGGGCCTTGGCGCACCGCATCGAGGTTGGGGGGGGGCCTTGGCGGGCGCGTCAAGACTGCGGCCCCGCCTCATTTCTTGGAACTGGCTCTCCTCCAGGCCGTAGAAGCGCTTCGCGGTGCTTTCGGGCCCGCAGGTGCCTGCGGGGCGGCTCTCGCCGCAAGGACTTGGCGACGCTCGCGGGCATCTTGGATGGCGCCGCCAAGGGCAGGGGGCGAGGTTTCGCGGGCGGCCCGCCAACTTTCTGCCCATCGGGCGAGCCCCAGGCAGCCTGGGCACCGCGGCCGCCAACGCTGCCCTTCGCCGCCGGAATCCCGGGCGGAGGGCGAAGACGTTGGCGCTTCGGAGCTTCCCCCGAGCTGCGGAGGGAAGAAGGGCTTCTGGCAGGAAGCGCTCGGCGGCGTCCACTTCCCTGGCCTCAGCGGCGCCGGCCAGACTGGCGCTCGCCCCGAACGCCTTCAGGAGGCGCTCCAAGGCCGTAAGCAGGGCAGCGCAGAATAGACTGCCACTGGCAGTTGCTCAGTGTCGGCGCCAGAGCGCCCAGGGCACCCTCCCCGAGACTGCGCGCTTGATCACCGACTCGCGCGCGATCCTCCTGCGCACGCCACGCACATAGACCCCCAGCCCGATCCGCGCGGGAGAATTGCGGCGCCGGGCGGTGGCCAAGTGGATAGCGGCCGACAGCAAGACGCATGCGTATCCAACGCTTTCATACTCGCGCACCGGCCGCACGCGGTCGGCTTGCCAGGCGGCGCGGATGTGTTGGTGAACGTGCGCCTGCGCTTGGAGACGGGGGTGCCGCTGGGTCAGGTTGTCGCGTTCCTGGACCTGGGCCTGCGGAATGCTTTCTCCGCCTTCGGGTGGGTAGCCGTGCGCTTAGCGGTCGACGCCCGCGCGCCGTCGCCTGCGCAGTGGACGACGTGGTACAATTGAGAGCCTGCGTGGATTCAGCTTCCCGCGGGCGGCTGGCTGTCCTGTGACCCAAAGGCGGAGCAAGGGGTCCACTGGGCTCGGCGCGCTGCGGCCTCGTCCTGCTTGAGTGTGGCTCTGGGCGCTGCGCCGCGGAGGCAGCGGGCGGGTGGGTGTGGGGCGCTTGGTGTATGAGCGATGGCCAGGTCCTGATCCCGCAGGCCCAGTGGCTGCCTACTTCGAGGTCTTCTGCGCGGTCCCTGCCGCCTGCGGCGAGACTCGGTTGGCCTTTGACAGGGCGTTCAAGAACGCGGCGTGCACAGTCGGCGACGGCACGGCGGCCCGCCCAGTGCCGCCCAATTGGGCTGAGGGCGTTGTCGCGGCCACCTGCTTGCCCCCGTCGCCAGAGGCGCCGACGGGCGGGGCCCTTGGGCGCCGCTCTCGCGGAGCAGCTGGCGCAGGCCACGGCGGCGGTTGACTCCACCTGCGATGCCTTGGCAGGCGGAGCTCGCCTTCCTCCGGGCCTCGGCCAAAGTGCGTCGCGTCGTCCGGTGCCACTTGTTGCGGGCGGTCGGGCCGGAGGTGCCGCGCGCTAGCTCGGTCTCCTTCGGCGCGCAGCAGGCCCAGGCGCTGGTCGGCGTCCTCGGCTGACCTCTGCCGCCCGAGGCGGTGGGCGGGGCCGCCTGCGCAGCCGCGGACGGGGGGTCAGCTTCCGCCGAGCCGTCGACCCGCGCGGCCCGGCGCTCCTCGCCAGCCCAGCAGAAAACGTTCTGGGCGCAATGCCGGAGCTGCGGCAGCGAGGCAGTCGGAACTCCCGCCCTCGAACGCAGAGTCGCGGCCCAGCACCTCCTGGCCAACGCGACTGCGGCGTCGACGCAGGCCGCGCAGCTTGCGGGGCGGGCGCCGCTGCCCCCCGCCACCCCCCCCGGGGCTTCTGTTGCCGACTGGCGCCGACGCGCCCCTGTCCTTGCCGGGGGCGGACGATTTCGAGCGCGCCCGGGTCGCGCCAGGCCTCCAAGCGCCAAGCGCGCCTTGCTAACCAGGCGGGGTCTGAAGCAGAAGCGGGGGCATTGCAGCGACGACGAGCTAGAAGAGATCCAGAACCAGTTGAAGGAGATCACAGCGACGAAAAAAGAGAGAACGACAGATTCGCGAGCAACGACGAAAGACGGAGCTGGTGGATGCGATCGGCAGTGCGGCGCGGAGTCACGCAACTACGAGGAAATCGATGCCCTACGCCGTCAACATGGCGATGCAGAAGGAGGACATGGGAATATAGATTTCTACTCGCCTGGCCCGAGCATGGGGGCGCAGGAGAGGGGCGGCGAGTTAAAGAAGGACGACAAAACGGAGGATTGAAGGCGGAGATCATTGGACACGAGCAGGTGAAGAGAGAGAGTGCCGCCAGGAGTTTG